CACGCTCTGCTTGGGTATTCCGCTTCCTCGTTTATAACATGCTTAATTGCATTAAAAAAGTAACCATCACCCTGATTTGATGTGTATTTAATGTTATAAACTGTGCATATTCAAAGTGAATATTGAAAAATGTTTTTGGAGGATGGGAAAAATAAACAAGAAATCTGCTCCTACCTCTCCAGGGTTGTCTATAACATGGCACAGCTGTAAAAAAAAAAAAAAAAAAAAAAAAGCCATATAAATCTGCCCATAAAATGCTTCCAGTATTGGAGAATCTTACAAAATCAGATGTAATTGCATGAATAAATGTGGTTTTTAAAGTTGATATGGTTAATAAAAGCTTAACATTTAAGGAGACATAAAAAGTTAGGGAAAATGTCCTAAGTGTTCCTGCAACAGGAACATGGGGTTAAAATATTTAGATTTGTATTATTAAATATGTGCTATTACAAAATGAGAAATCCTCATACAAACATAAAAAGTCTACAAGGGTGATTATAAGTCACATAACAAGAATTTGGGAATTGACTTTGAACTTCAAAGATCTTAGGGATAATGCTGAAGTCATGTTTTTCTAAAGTCACAAAATTTTGGAATTTGCCTAACAGCACATTTTCCAAAGTTGAAATTAGGAATGATTTCTACCGGTTTTATAACACTTACAGAAACTACTTTTACTGCAATTAGTATTTCTCTATTGAACAATGTACTGTACCTTTTCATAATAAGAAATGGAAATCTAATTCTCGTAAGATTTTTTTAGGTGATCTCCATGAGAGAAATCTGAGTGTTCATACTTTCCTTTTGCAGTTTTTAAATAATTGGAATCGGTACACATTTCTGATGATGCTTACCAAAAGTCTAGTGAACCTTTACAAGTATTAGAGTCTTTAGTTTAGAGCTACTCTCAATTTTTCTTTCCTTTGTCCTGTCTCTCGTTTTTCCCAGCCCTCTTTGAATTGCAGACCACTTATCCCATATTGACCAACTCCTTTAACACCATTACAGATATTTGCAAATTTTCATAAAATACCTGAACGAGATGAGTTATTCCCATCCCCCTAAGATGGCATTCATTGGGTTTAAGGTCTGTTGCCTAATTCTTGGTGTCGCTGTGGATTTTGTGTTTCCCCTGGGAAGGGTCAGAGTTGCAGCCCCTGTTTTTTGCCAGGCAGTGCACGGTGTGGAGTGGAGGGGAGGAGGAACAGGAGGGAAGGTAGGACATCAACTTAGCTGGGTTTCCCAAGCACTCAGCTGATACGCAAAATTATGGTGCAGTGCACTTGGGGAAGAAAAGCTTTACAAAATTCTCTGGAGAATTTCTTGCTTTCTCTCTTTCTCTCTCTCTCTTTCTTTCTTTCTCTTTCTTTGTTTCCCTTCCTTCCTTCCTTCCTGCCTTCCTCCCTCCCTCCCTCTCTCTTTTTTCTTTCTTCTTTTTCTTTCTTTCTTTCTTCTTTTTTTTCTTTCTTTCTTCTTTCTTTTTATCTGAGACATAGTCTCACTATGTAGTGCAGGCTGACCTTGAACTCACTTATATAGCCTGGGCTGGCCTCAAACTCACAGCAGTCCTCCTGCCTCAGCCTCTCAAATGATGGGATTATAGGTATGTGCTATCACAGCCCACAAGAATTCTACCCTTCTGGATTTGCCAATTTTTCCTGTAGTTGTTGCTAATGTTTTCTTTAAGTTTTTATATATTGTCTTAATATTCTGAATAAACCTTGTACAAAGTAAACTTTATGGGTAAATACATTCTGTTAAACATCTAGAAATTGTATTTTGATGTCTTTAATTATTATTTTTTATTTAAGGACATGCAGAGGTACCAATTAAAACTACATGGGTTTTTATTGCTCTCTTGGTGTTAAGTTTTTGATATATGTGCAACTGGTTTTTAAGTGTATTTACTGAACATTCAGTATCACCCTTTCTTAGTGATAATATTTATTGCCAGCCCCATGAATTAAATAGACCTTCTGCCACACTGTCAGTACATGGAACCTCCGTCATATACTGCAATTCCGTAAGGCTTCTGTTCTTTTATCTGATTTCCCTGTTCAGTTCCACTGATATATTTGTGATATTCTTGTAATAAAACCACAGTTTCTCAAGACCTATAGCCTTATAATTCTTAAAAATGTGGTAGCACAGGTCATTTTGAGGGGCATCTTGCATATTTAACTCATTTATATTTTCTATACATACATCAGAAACCCTTACAAATTCCACAAAAATGCTATAGAAAGACTTTTTTTTGGTACTGGGAATTGAACTCAGGAAATCATGCTTACCAGGCAGACATTTGTGCTACTGAGCTACATACCCAGCCCTTGTAGTAAGATTTTCACTGGAAGATATGGAACAAATGGTCAGTTTGGTAAAAATTATTTGCAGCAATATGAAAGGTACTCGAGATTATTATGTTAGTGAAATACCAGAAACAAACAAATGTCACACACACACACACAGACATGAATAGAATTAAAAGCAATTTTGTTAGTAAAATAAACTAATGGCACACACACACAGAAAACAAATGTCATATGTGTTCCCACACTGGAGGAAAATAAAAAAATAATTTTATAAAAGAGCAAAGTGGGATAATGGTCACTATTGACAGGAGGTGAAAGATAGAAATAAATTAAATAATGGCTTGAAGGTACATACAGAAATGAGTTATGATTTTCTATAGCACTGCTAGTTGCAGCAATCCATGATATATCACAAAATGACTAGAAAGCTAGAGTATGAAATTCTCAATACACAAACTAATGTTTGAGGAGATAAAATTGCTCATTACCCTGATTTGATCATCAAAAACTGTACCACATATCACTTTCTGATACTGTGCACTCTAAAAATGTATGAATGTCATGTCTCAATAGAGAAAAGACTCAGGAGTTCCATAATAGTCGGTTAAATAATCTAGGAACAAAGGACATCCACCAGTTGACTTAAGATAAACAAGAAATTTTTTTATTTTTTATTTTTGATAAATTTTTAGTCTGAAGTTTTAAGAACAGTTCAGTCTAACTTTTACAATATATTTTATCAATAATGAAATGGTCCCTCTATACTAAACTTACATTGTTTTGGATATTCTTAATGACATTATTTAATAATATACTCAAACATTCATTATTCTGTCTAATTCTATCTGATTCCCAAGATGTGTGATAGTAATTTATATTCCACAAGAAAACTCTTTAGCTAAACCTGAGATTATTCCAAGTTGAATGGAGGGCATATATATATAATTATATCAGTGAGGCATTTATTGATTAGGATTTCCACATCTGCATGAGGGACAGCAAGGTTCTGAGATTGAAATTCTTAGTGTGTAACATTTTTACAATCCATGTTTCTCAGGACTTCTAAAACAAATATCATTGGAGTTCTTGTCTTTTAATCCTCTGGCATAGTTTGTGCAGTGTATGGATGATGGTTTCATGAATATTTGGAAGCAGCTGACGTTAAAAGTCTATGAAGTAGAAATGGGGATGAGGTAAACAAGGAGAAAATGCAATCTTTAAATTATGATGAGTTCTCCAAATCTCTGAAATATGTTTCATGGAAAATGTGATATAGTATTCAAAATTAAATTATATTAAATGTATTTCTTATCAAGCCTGTATCTAATTTTATTTTTCTAGATGAAATAATTACTTGTCTTGCCCAAGCTCATTTAAGCAAGTTAAATTAAGTACTTCTGATTAATCATAAACTATTCAGTTCTTAATGCTTCCTATTACATTGACTTTTTTTCCCATATACTTCATAAAAGTACTGTTTGCCTACCTAAAAGACCCAAAAGTAGCATTTTCTACCTTAGGGCAATATTTCTCATTGTGAGATGGTTTTAGAAGTTTATCTTAAAATTTTAAGTGCTCAATTTTCAAATAAATTAAATATTTTTAATCTATCATAGAATATCTTGAAGTTATCTTGAAGTTTACTTATTTTAAAGTATACTGGAAAAATATCGTTGCAACATAAATCACATCATCTGAATGATATCCTTGCTAGTGTCAAGGCAAATGGGTGTATGCCTTCTAGCCATTTAGTTTCAGACTGAATAAATTATAGATATAGGACTTAGTTCACATGCAACATAGAAAAGAATAGTAAAGATTCTAACCAATTGTTAAATTTTGGATATACTGGTCTACAGAAATTAAATATGTTATATGACTTTGTGTGTGTGATTTGTAGAATGCTAATGTTGGCAATGTTGCAACCAAGCTAAATTATACACTATTATTATAAAATAACATTGAATATGTTTAAAGTTTATAAAATATAGTGAGGTGAAATGCAATTTTCAAAGACTAAATGGATTAGGAAATGAGGGTACCACTCTATGCAAAGATGTACAACGAGAAGACGTTAATCAAAGCATTTTGTTGTTGTTTAATTAAACATGTGTGTCATACATAGTAGTTACATTTATCTTGGAGAATTGATTCATATATGTAGCCTATCCTGAACATCTTGATTATTTTTACTTCCCTTCTCCTTATCGTTGACTTAACAATGATTTTCTTTGAGTACTGAAACTGAAGTTTCAAGGGTAAGAAAGAGGGGGGTTGCTAATTTTCCTTAAAAGTCCTTTTAAAAATTGATATATTTGAAAAAAATATATGGATTTTTAGTGACCGTCATTCCTGAAAAAATTAGAATTATCACTCAATGTCAAACTTTTTCTGACATGATATTTCTGACAGAATCACAAAGGACTTTACATATCTTATACTAATAATCACTAAATAACACAAAAATAATATTATTTATTATCAATCTATGTTTAGCTGTTTATCCTATGTCCAGATTTGGTTCTAGGTTCAATGTTAAAGGTGAGTCATTTTTCATTTCTTAGGTCAAAAAAAATGGGTTTGTCTTACATACAAAGACTTCAATGGTAAGCTTTTAATAGGCAATACTTCCTGGAATCCAATGGCTTTTAATGATTCTTCCCACAGTAAGTAGCCTTTGTGGCCTGGATGGACAGAAGGAATTTGACAGTGCTAAAGGAGTTTGTTCTGACTGGCATCACAGAACACCCTGATCTTCGGGTCCTCTTCTTTAGACTGTTCCTTGTTGTCTATGTAACCTCAGTGGTGGGAAATTTGGGCATGATCACCCTCACCAAAATGGACAACAGACTGCAAACACACATGTACTTTTTTCTCAGACATCTGGCTTTCATTGATCTTGGTTCCTCAACTGCTGTGGGACCCAAGATGTTGGCAAATCTTATAGCTAATCAAAATACAATTCCCTACCACTGGTGTGCCACCCAACTAGCATTCTTCATAACGTTCACCATTAGTGAACTTTTCATTCTGTCAGCAACGGCCTATGACCGCTACATGGCCATCTGCAAACCTGTGCTCTACACAGTGATCATGGCACACAAAGCATGCTGGGTGCTGGTGATAATCCCTTATCCCTACAGTGCTTTTCTTTCTCTGATAACAATCATAAAAATTTTCATTTCATCCTTTTGTGGCAATAATGTCATTAGTCATTTCTACTGTGACGGTCTTCCTTTGTTGACTTTGATTTGCTCAAGCACACGAGAAGTTGAGTTGATAGTCCTGATCTTTTCAGCATTTAATTTAGTTGGTTCTCTTCTGATAGTCCTTGTTTCCTACATTCTGATCCTTGTAGCCATCCTCAGAATGAATTCAGCAGATGGTAGACACAAGGCCTGCTCTACCTGTGGGTCTCACCTTACAGTGGTGGCTGTGTTATATGGGACCCTATTCTTTATGTATGTACAGCCCAAGTCCAGCCATTCCTTCAATACTGATCAGTTGGCCTCAGTATTTTACACTCTGTTTGTTCCCATGCTGAATCCCATGATCTACAGTATGAGGAACAAAGAGGTAAAAGGTGCCCTGCACAGGATACGGAACAATCTGTGCAAACTTTTTCTGTAAGGTTCACTATAGCATCTACATATGCAAAATCCGGATTTACACAGCTGTTAATTGTATGTAACGAAACTTGAAAGGAACTACACAAAAATACAGTAGAAAATCTTATTCAAGTCATGGCTTGAATACCAGTAATCCAAAGGATAAATACCAGTTATCCTTGCAGTTCTCACTTTGGTTTGTCCTCACGTTTTGTGTAAAGTGCCTGGGTCTGAGGAACATTCTCACATTGCCAAATCCTCGTTTTAAAACTAAAGAGGAACCTATAGTTATACATTTCCCTTTAGACCTCCTTTGGTTGCCCACATGCTTGGCTCTTAAAATATACATTTTTCCTTTGTGACCTACACACAATTTAGATCCCCATTGTTATCGTTGAAACATTGTGTCAACTTGGGGAGTCTAGAGGTTTGGCTAAGTGATTCAGCAGGAAGCCAGGGTGCTTACTTTGTATACATCCTGAGCCTGTGGAAGAGAAGGGCAAAGGTTGTGTGAGAGCTACACGCCCCTTAGGTGGGGGTAGCCTGTTTACAATGTAAGGCAGGGAAAAAGAAGCTGTTTGCAGCCATTCTTCCCTTTCTGCTCTGGCTGCTTTGCTGTTCGGCTGCCATTCCCCACCTTTGCTCTTGTTGCTTTGCTACCTTTTGCCTCGGAGCCAGCCAAGTATGGACTGAAACCTCCACAAACTGTAAGCTAAATAAACCTTTCCTTCCTTCACTTTGGGCATTGGGTATTTTGTCTCAGCAACAAGAAAAAAGTAACCAAGACACCCATGCACATTGTATGGGCATATTTACATATATTGGAGGGCAGTTTTTATTTTTGCACTGTGCATATAACAGTGAAAATTATAAAACATTTAAAAATAACACATTTAATAACACCAAGTTTCCACTGTGTGTAGAGTCATCTCAGATTTCTATGAAATTGTTAATCATCTACCTTAAACATATATATATGTCCTGGATTATGGAGTAGAAATAAAAGTATAGGCAGTAATTTTCAAGAGTGATAAGTTTCAATGTAAAAATCCAAAACATTATCCAAGCTAAAATTTTACATGAAATTTTCAAAGGTACTTTGGAAAGGTCTCTACAATACAAATCAATTATTTTGTGTACTATGAAAAATAACTGCAAATTAAATTATAAAGATTATCTACACTAGCAATAATCACCATAAAACACTGAAAGAAAAATTTAACAAGCAATTTTCTTGATTTCAGTGCATTGAACTATAAGTAATTAAAGAGAATATAATTATGTCAATATACCACTGTCTGTGGATTGAACACAATAAATATGCATACATCAGATCTTACATTATTTTGTAGAGTTTAAATAGTAACAACCAAAATTCTAACAGTATTTTAAATTAGAGTATTGATGTAAAATTTATGCTGAAAGAACAAGGATGTATAACGTCCAGAGCTATATACCGAAGAGGAAAGTCTCTAAAGAATGTTCAATAAAAGATATCAGTATTTCAAATACAACTACATTATTTGACAATTGGTAACATTGGTGCACATATGACAGAACAATGAAATAATAAAAATAGACTCCATGTGTAATATTTGTTTTAATTTAATGCAAAAACTCCACCAGAATTTAACAAGAATATTCAGCGTATTTAGTCAGTTACATTAAATGTAGAACAATTACATTTAAACATTTACTTGAACCATAATACAAAAGTCAGTTGATAAGCACTGACATAATGCAGGCTAAATAGACTGTTTAACCAGCCCCAGATTTACACATAAAACAAAACATCATGCTTTGCATCTTTAAAATGTACAATATATTTGTCAAAAATTGAAAGCATAAAAATTGCACAATTGAGAAATATTATAAATTTTAACCTGAATGATAGTTTTATAAAGTTGTTCTATGAAAGAATGGTTAGATATTGTTTTCATAACTGAGAATAAGACAAAATGCCTTAAGCCAGGCATGGTGGTGCACACCTGCAATCCCAGCAATCAGGAGGCTGAAGAAGTCGTACACATATGAGGTCAGACTAAACTATGCAGAAAGACCTTGTCTCAAGAGGAAAGAACGGAGGAAAGAAAGAAAAAAGAAACAAAAAGAGAGAAAGAAAGAAAAAAACGGCAACTTAAAATATTGTGCCACAATAAGAGCTAAGATGTGACGTTGAGACTGTTTACACAGCGCTTTCCTTATTGCTTTCCTGGTTGCATAAACACATGCCTTCACTTCTGAGCTGATTCCACTCACTGTCTGCAGCTTTCCTCCGGAGATTTTTAATGTTCCTGGCATCTCCAACTTCCTTGGGTCTCCCCTGCAGCTTTGGCTTACTCTCACAGTTTCATACACCAACCTCTCAGAGGTTTCTTACAGAAACTGTGGCTTTGTCATATGTCTTGGCCTAGTCATCCAAGTCTTCCTTTGAAATCCTGATGGAAACTTCTAGAACAATATGACTTGAACTCTGCATGCATATGAAATCAGCATCATATGGAGAAGGCCATGGTCTGCTGCCAGCTTCAGCAACAAGTCAGACCTCCTTAAATCACGGGAGCTCTGACTTCTGAGTGCCTGCACAGCTGGATATTGTACAATGAATTCTTGGGAACTAATTTCTCACAGGCCCTGCTTGAGCAGGAGGATCAGAAGGTCTCTTCTAAAATGATATGGTCTCACATTTTAGCCTTATGGATGTAGTTGGTAGAATCTTGCTGACCCCTGATATTCCCTCAAGATATCTTTCTTCTTCCCTGTCCTAGGTTTGTTTTTACTGGCTCTACTCACTTCAGCAACCACACCTGCTTTGGCTGCGACTTTACCCATGCTTTGTTCTGGCCTAACTGCAAAGTTTTCATGCTTTTTGCTCTGATTTTTGTCCTGATTCTCAGTGTAAATATAACTAAACACAGCTAGTATTACTCATGACACAACATGAACACTGAAATATTTTTTTCCCACAGTAAGTATTCTACTACATTTAAAATTCAGCACTGCATAAATTTTCAGAACATGGAGAAAATGGGGTAACTTCTTTACCAGAATGTAATGTGAACACCTTTTTGTCTAATACACAATAAAGTCCTAAAGTTCCACAATTATTTACTTTGGGGCTGAGATCTGAGGACTCGTGTCACATGGTGATAGAAGACTTGTGACACAAGGTGAAGGTTGATGCCCACTCTGCATACTGGAGGGATACTCTACCTTAAATACATAAAGAGAACAAAGGCAAAATGACACGTTATACTTGAGCTGATAGTATTGGGAACTGGGCTGATAAGGCTTGAGTTGGTAGGCTTGGGAACAGCGTAGAGAGTGTGTCAACCTCCTGTAGCTGCAAGGATGTGTCCTCCCTCTGAGTCAATCCATACTTTGTCTATAGAGTCCTCAGCTGACCCTTCAGGATGGGCCACATCTAGAGCTTAGATGCAAAGCACTTTATATACAAATTTTCAGTGCTGACTTCCACAAGTCCCAATTTCCAACTAAAATCTCATGAGCCTGCCATTACTGTGCACATTCCTATTGCCATTCTCATTTTCTAAGCCTTGACCACAGCTATTCATTGAGCTCTGCTCACAGCCTGCAGTGCTTTCCTTAACTCATTTCTCCAAACAATTAATACCACAAGCAAGTTCCAAAGTCTTCAAAGCCACATGCCCAGATATACTAACAACAAGAATCACACTCTTGGTACCAATTTTATTAGGCAGCTTCCCATAACTGGGACAAAATATCTGGCCCTCACATCTTACAGGAGGAGAGATATATTTTGGCCCACAGTCTCAGGGCCTGTGGAACATTTTATTTGTTCCAAGGGAGGAACGTCACTTGGGAAGCTGTGGCATCCTAGTAGCAGAGAGGAAGGGAAAAATAACAGATCAGAAGGAGTCAGAGAGCACATACTCTCCCTAGGTCATATGTCTGGTGAACTCCCGATACACAACCCCAGAAATGTGCTTTACTAATCTGCTAGAAAACTCTAGAGTTAATAATCAATATTTATGTTTTCACTTGATGTTCTTATTAAAAATAAGTTTATTTTTATGTATCATTCATTTTATTTTAAAGAGAATAAAAGAAGAACAATAGCAAAATACCAACAACACAGACAAAAACAAAACAAAGCAAAAACAATAAAAATGGTACAGGGTTGCAGAACAAAATGATAGGAATTCAAAGTGGTTGTTATATTACATATTGTTATCTTCAGTGAAGTTGCTGAGATTTTGATGATATCAAAATTATTTACTAAATTAATTCAGCTTTTGATTTCATATCTTAAAAAACTGAGTCATACCTCAAAAATGTATCAGAAGCTCACCTGAATTGTGGAAAATTGGATGCAGCATATGATCGTAGTAAATTAGAACAGCAAATTGAAATTGAAGGCTTTAGCCTTCAATCACGTCCTACAATAGTATAAACCAGGTCTTAGAATGGAGAAACTGTTCATTCTCAGTTCACTTCCCCCATGAAAATGAGATAACTTCTCCTTCTCTGATTTGGGTAGACCAGCTGTCTCAGTGTTGAATGAGCCTAAGAATGATTAACTTTGGCAGTTTTATGAACCTTGAGGTGTTTACATATACAGAGGGGGAAACTGGAGGGGCCAGGTTTAGACTCAGAAAATACTGAGTAGTGAGGAAATTGTTTTTAGTGTTACACCTCCTCTTCTAAAGAAACATATCAAAATAAGTATCTAGAAAAAATAACTTTTGTTTACATTTCAGGTAAAGAGAACTAAGGATGAAGGCAAATGGACTAGATATGAAAATATGTAAAAAGCTTCACTGACCAGGAAGGCGTGAGTCCTTGAAGGCAACCACGTTTAGATATTACACAGCACTGACTATGCTCAAACTCTGATGTGAAGAGAACAGCTTGCGCACAATGCCTGCTGTTAAAAGTCTAAGTCTGCCTACAATAACTGCCTGATAAGACTGCTTAGGCCAAAAAGGCATACATAGTTTTTAACCAGAAACAAGTTTCCTCAAAACCATGGCCATGAAT